ACGCCTCCATCCTGGCTGGAAGTCCTCATTTTTCTAATAATCTTGATGTGAACTCTTTTTTTTTTAAAAAAAAAAATTGGCTCAGCTTTATTTTTAAGAATTTATTTTATTTTAGTTTATTTTAGTTTTAATTGTGGTAAAATACATATAAGATAAAGTTTACCATCTTAACCAGTTCTAAGTGTACAGTACAAAAGTGTTAGATATATTCTTATTGCTGTGCAACCATCACCACATCCATTTCCAGAATTCTGTCATCTTTCCAAACTGAAACTCTGACCCCATTAAACATCAGCTCCCATTGCCCCTGTTCCCCCACTCCTTGGCAACCATCATTCTACTTCTGTTTCTGTGAAGTCATCTACTCTAGGAACCACCTACAATTGAAATCATACACAGTTTGTCTTTTTCAGACTGGCTGAGTTAATTTAGCAAAATGTTCTTGAGGTTCATCCATATTGTAGCATGTGATAAGATTTCCTTTTTTTTTAAGGCCTAGTAATTCTCCATCGTATATATAGCTCTTACAGTTTTTAACCACGGTCTCCCAGTCATTGTGTTCCTCTGGTCCTCAGTTTCCTATCTGTCTAGTGTGAGAGCTGGTGCATGAACTCTTTTCTCTCCCGCAGTCTCAGTTCTGTGCGTTAATTTATTTCTCTAACCTCTGAATCTGGGTTTTGCAGGTCAGTAGTGCATTTACTGGTGGCTTTTGTGGTATGTGACCTAGCAGGTGTAGGCTGTGGATCCAAGGGAAGGAATCTCTGTCTTATTGAATTGACACTTCTTTATCCTGCAAGTGACACATTCGTCATTGAGTCACTGACCATTGAACTCCCCCTTGATGCTTACTTACACTGGAACAAGGCTTTTCTGGGTGGAAGAGTCAGCCACAGACAAGTTGAGCTGGCCCATCTTGGGCTGGCCTGATGAGGGACAGATGCCCAGGGCTGAGCCAGAAGACAGTGGCTCTTTCCAGGTCCCTGACATCCCATAGCCCCAGTCAAGTTCTCCTATGACTCTCAGTACTTACACAGCTCAGGCTCCCAGCCCCTTGCTGACCCACCTCATATGTGCTATAGGGTCTAATTCCAGTCTTCCTTGTTTTTAAGATTAATTTAAAATTGAAGTTATGATTCTGTGTTAAAAGAAGTTCACATTCTTTGTAGAAAAATGAGAAAAATTATAAACAGACACAGTGAAGATAATCTTCAGTATTACTACTGCCAAGCTGGTTCACCTTCTTCATATTTTGGTGTCACCACAGGTATGCTCCCCTACAGGAGGAAGACTTGGAGGGAAGGCAGCCTCCCCTGTGGGGTGGCTTCCTAGGCTCCTGGCACAGGCACTGTTCCTAGCAAAGACTGAAATTCCTGCTGGGTCATGCCTGGTATCAGCGTGTGGCTGTGGCTGTGTGAGAGCCACTAGGAGAAGTGGAATAGTCAGGACTGGGGATCTACCCAGTACAAATCTTTGTTTCCTGCTCTTGTAGGAAATGTTATCAAGCTTGAGGCCTGTCAGGGGTGCGGGGTTATGGACTGGGCTCTGAGAATTTGCTTTGCAAACTTGGCATTTGTGATTTGTCTTAAACTCATTTCCTGTATCGGCCCATTGGTCAAAACTGAGGCAGGAAGTGACAGCTGCCTTTCAACCTTCTGTTACACTGCTGGAGAATGGAAAGGCCACCAGGAGGCTATGGTTCCACCTCTGCAATAAACTGTGCAGACTTGGGCAGTTACACCTGGAACCTCAGTTGCCTTGCCTGAAGAGTGGCACTGAGTGATGCCTACCCCTTAGGGCAGCCAAAATGGTGATGAGATGCAGCAGTGGGAACTGGTGAAGATGAGCCTCCTTTTGCCTGAGCAGCCTTGGGAAGGAAGAGAAAGATGCCCACATGTGCTCAAGGAAGGAGGGAGGGAATGACCTAGCTGTTCCCATAACTGATGCTGCTGAGGCTGCCTCCTGAAGGCTGATCCCACAAGTAGGCCCTGGGCCCAGGCAGTCCTCCCTGCCTCCCTCCCTCCTTACAAAAATATTTCCCAAGGGCCCAGCCTGTTGTGGACACTGTGCTAGGTGTTGGAGACAGAGTAGTGAATAAGACAGAAAGGTATTTGCCCCCTTGGGAGCCTACAGTTGGGGTATGTGTAGGGGGAGACAGACAACAAATAAGTCAACAAACTATGAACAGCCCATTTACCCTTCGTACTAGTTCTGGGAAGATGTGAGCAGAGGTCTCTGAAGGAACCTCACCAGGGAGCCCTGAGGAGGTGATCCTCAAATGGAGCCATGAAAAGATAGGCGTGAGAAGAGCTTCCAAGGTGGAGGGAGGGTCTCTTCACTCACAGGCAGCACCTACAGAAGGACCCAAGGTGGGGAGGAAAGTGTCCTCTTTTGAGACAGAAGGAGGGACAGAGTGGTTAAAGATCAGGCCATCTGCGTAACGTGTGGTCCATCTCTGCCACTTATTATTAAGTTCATTCTCCCCTCGGAGCCCACTTCTGAGAACTGTTCTGAAGCTCTAGTTCACACAGCTCCCCAGGAGGGCGCCACTGTGCCTGAGCTGTGGGCCTCTACACGGAGGCCTGGCTGGCGGCATCCCAGAGGGAGGAACAGAGAGCAGTGGCACTCATCACACAAGGGTTTGAAGGCCACAGGGAGTGATTTGGATGCATTCATCAAATATGGGTTTTGGCTCAAAACACTGTATTTCCAATGCTGCTTTTTCCAAAGTCAGCGAGTACTTTCATAAAGAGCCAAGGGGCTAGTGGAGCATGAGTGGAGGGCCTGCCTTTGCCTCTCCCAGGTCTCAGGCCTCAGAAATAAGCACTGAATTCTAATTGTCCTTGTCAGGGCCATGGGAGACCATCTCCATTCTCTTAGTGGGATCTGGCTCTGCAGCCAGCCTAGGCTGGCTGGCAGGTGGAGGCTGCTTCAATTCCCTTCTCTTGCAGGGACCACACATGGGGGCCTACCATTTGAACTATCCAAGGGGCTTATAAAATCTTTCAAATTATGTCTTGTTGGTAGCGGAAGACCCACCCTGACTGGGTGCAAGTCTGTGTGACCCCAGCCTCCTCACCTGCTTGTGGTGGGCCCTTGGAGCCTACAGGTATCTCTCAAGGACAGGAGTGGTACTGGCGCTGTTGAGCACTGCTCAATTCTCCTCTCAGAACTCAGATACCAGATAGAACCACAGGATTACATGACCTGACTCTCCATATTCTGCCCCCTGTTGCCAAAAAACTCCCCAAAGACAAAACTTTTTCTGTATTTGTCCTCATCTCAGAAATGGCACCTCTATTCATTTAAATACTTGGCCCCAAACTAAGCATCATTTGTGTCTCCTTGCTTTCCATTACCCTCCTTGCTGTCCATGAGCAATCTGTACAGGTTCAGACCTTCAGAAAAATCCCAGAATCTGGCCACCTCTCACTACCTCCCCTTTAGCCTGCCTGGGGCCAAGCCACTGTCAGGTGGGACTGCATTATCATAGTAGCCTCCCCTACCCCCCAGTTGCAGATAAACTCAAGACTCTCTTTATTAAAACCCATTGAGGCTTCCTCTCACTATGTCCTGCATGGTCCATAGGGAAGTCTGGCCTTGGTGGCTCCTGACCACCCGTCTGCCATCCTCTCTTGCTGCAGCCTCTGGCTTTAGTCCATCTGAACACCCTGCTGCTTCCTGAACTGGTGACTTCTGTCTCTACATCTATGCTATTGTACTGCTCTTCTCCCTAGCTGTCCTGTTATTCTGGACAGTCACATGGCTGTCTCTGACTGTCACACTTAGGTCTGCTGAGCCCTGTGCTTTGTTTATGCATCCATAGCCCTTACCACATCCTGCTTTTTCCTCTCCATTGGAACTGTGCTCCATGAGGCTGGGGTATAGCTCCCTTATTTCTGCTTATTAGTCACTAGGGCCAAGAACTGTGTCAGCAGCTCATGTGACAGTTGCTGAATAAGTGCATGACTAAGGAGGACCAATGAAGAGGATGGCTTCTCAAACTCAGCATGGCAAAGGGCTGTCCTGGCCCTGTTCCTCCAGTGGGCCCTGAAGGTCTGGCTGACAGGTTAGGCCAGGCTATTATTCTGAAGCCCTTCTCCACACATGAGGGCTGTTCTAAGTGCTTGCCAAACCAGCTCATTCAGAGCTTTTCAACTCTCAATCCATAGCACTCTTCGGTTCTCACTTAATTTTTCTGGAAATTCTTGGGTCATAAGAAATACCCAAGGTTCCTGTTCATAAAAAAGTTAGGCCCAAGCAACTCAATAAGCATTTTTATCTCAATAACTTAGTAGCTATTAGAAGAATGTTTATACATTAAAAGAAAAAATAATAAAGAGTTACCATGGCTTTTAATGGATGTGAGCCTGATGGACTCTGTGTGGTTTCTGTGATTCATATTGTAGGCTACCACCTTAATTTTATGTTCCATGTGGATTTTTGCAAGGTTCTTGCAAAACAGAGCAAAATTCAGCTTCACAAAATATATGACGTCCTTGAAAGGCGTACAGCATGAGCTCATGTTAAAGCTGTGAACTGCCTCTTAGCTAGCAGCTTATATGGCATCTGACATATGTGGCTAAGTTTCCCTTGGCTTCAAATATTTAAAATCTCACTGCAGTCCCCTTGTGAGTTCTTAGGGTGCTTTGCCACATAGTTCGGGCATTGTGGGGTTATATCATTAGATCCTCATAATGATCCTGTGAGGTAGGTATCATTTCATTTTACAGAAGAAAGAGTTAATGCTCAGAAAAAACAAAGATACTGGCCTAAGGCCACACAGGGAACTAGGACTGGCCAGGTCTCCCTGAGGCTCTGATAATCCCTTGGAATGTCCACTGGATCTCTTGAGTTGTGCATCTTTGGGGTCCTGAGCATTTGTTACCTCTCCCTTTAGTGTCTAGAACCTAACAGTATCAATTAGCCCTTTGCTCCCACTCCAAGTCATGAGAGACAGAATATGGATAGTGACAACAACCTATTGTTTTTCCTCCTTGCAGGGGGCCCACTGTGCTCTTGCTGTGTCCCAGATCCCATGGGGCTGTCTTTCCTTCCTCCCTACGGCTGTCAGAGTAACCGCACAGCCAGCGTGGCCGCCCTACGCATGAAGGCTCGGGAGCACTCAGAGGCTGTTCTGCAATCAGCCAACCTCCTGCCGTCGGCCAGCAGCAGCCCCAGCCCCATGGCCAAGCCGGTGCCCCCTGATGGCAGCCAGGACAAGACCCCTTCTGGCAAGGAACAGAGTGAGGGTGAGAAGAGTGTATGAGGGTCCCCAGGGCCAAGCCCAGCACCCTCCCCAACCCCTGTTTCTCCCAGCCTCAGCCCCATGGAAAACTCAAAAGAGCAAGGAGAAGCCTGCTGCCTCAGAGCCTCCTCTTGGACTCAGGAAGGGAGTGAGACCCACTGTTCCCTTGCTGTCTGGAGAGTGTCTCTGACATCCTGCCAGCGGGCCTGTGTTGTCTTGCCTTCTTTGGTGATAGGTCCTGATGTGATGGTATTGGTGACAGCATAGCTGACTCTGTGGTGAGACCTGTGGGGTTTCCTTTTATGCCCAGAAGTCTTGGAGGGAAATAGAGTTGCTCACCCTGTCACCTTCTGTCTGTTTCCTGGGTTGCCTTTGAAGATCTTGTCAACCCAAAGAACTATGACATGAGATGCCCAGGGCTATGAATTGGGCTTGCCCTTGCTATGAGTCTCATGCTATGAATTGGGATTGCCCTTGTTCCATTAAGAATCAGAAAACGGATATAATCCCATCCAACTCTTATTCCTCTCCACCAACTCTAGCAGCCATGCCCTCCTTTCTCTTGTTGAAATATATTGGTTGTGAGTTTGGTTAGGTTAGAAGGTGAGAAGATGTAGGGTGAGGAGAGGCTGACAGGTCACAGCCTATTTTGGGGGTATGTGGTGGCTCTACCCTTAGCAGTTCTCATTGGGAACCTCTGGCCAGACACGCTGTCAGCTCCATGAATGGCGACCACCATCATGACACTGCAGGCATGGAATGAGCGTGGCCCTCCCAGTTGAAGCGCCCACTTACAAGCCCTGCCTCTCCAGACTAGACCTCTAGGTCAATGGAAAGCAGCGCTCTCGTCCATGGAATGCGGAGGGCCCCCGGAGGAGGAAAGAACCTCCCAGGAACACCTCTAAAATAAGTATGCATCTGGATGGACTACCTTTCCTCAGGTTCCACATGGAGGGAACTCTCCAGTGTTTTTCTTAAAATTTATTATTATTATTATTATTTACTGAAGAAACAGTAGAAAATGAAATGAGAATGGTATATATGCAGAAATGGAGCATGGGAAGAGGGCTTCCTCATGGTATGAAGAGAGTTTAATTCCAAAGGACCAAATTGCATAGTGATTTCAGTTTTGGTCTGGCATGTCTATTTTGTCATTTTCTCTCATGTGGGTAGCAAACTTGAAGAGATCGAAGGGAAATGTGCAATAGCATGAGCTCTGTCCTTCTCCGCCAGGACATCTGGTTCCTGAAAGATGGCAGTCTTTGATGGCTTACTGAGGACATTTTCATGCAAACTCTTACAGCTTTTGTGATTATTTTCCTTTCAGTTATCATAATCAAAAGGCTCTACCTTACATTTCCCTGCTCCCTTTTCATCTTCCCCTCTAAAGCCCCCAAATAATACTCCTGAGTGTGTTGTGCCTCGTCTCTGATTACTGCAAAGCATTTGATGAAATACACTGTCTTCTTTAAAAAAAAAAAAATCAAACCCTTCTTCCTGCTGTATTTTGCTTGTTGAGTACCAAGATGAAACGATTTGCCAAAAACCGGCAAAGTTGCTTCAGTTTCCCTGTAATTATGAATGTTGGGTTGAACGATGTAAGCTCAAGCTCTTATGTACACTAACTCTTCAATCTAATTGTTTGATTAAACTCGTATTTCCTCCAGAAAGGTACATAAATAAGTGAACTGTTGAGCAAATTAAGAATACTTAACAGCATTGCATCTGAAAAGTAGTTATGCTGATTAAATTTTGTGTCCTTGAGGACTTTCAGGAAATTACTTTTGATCGTCAATAACACAATTAAGTAAACTACACACACATTAGCATGAATAATTGATAAGAAATTATGTATTACCACGAAGTACTGATTTAATAATTCATGATGCGACACTCTAGTGACTGTGCAAAACTGGATAACATCGAAAAGTCTGCCTAATGTTACTGAAAGGAAGGAAAAAAAGATGAGCACCAAACCTCTGCAGAGATATCGAGTACTTAGTTTTGTTGTACAAAGGCAAAAAGTAATTATGCATGCTGTAGTTTCTGTTTGTTTAAATACCCGAATAAATTTAGAAGAGTTACAAAGAAAGACATAAAGAGCTCAGGTCCTGTCTCTGCTCCTCCTGGCCCTGGGCTGAAGGCTTGCGTGGGGCATGCTCCCTGACCTGGGTCAGCATGCAAATGGAATTCTCTCTGAAGCTTCCAGGCAGAGGCCTTGGAGGCATTGGCTCAGGAACCTTGTATGCTGGGACAAGACGGGGTTACTGTGTAGGCCAGAGCCACTCCCTGGAGCTGGTGCTTGCAGGACTCAGCCCTCCTGTCCTAGGACAGATGGACTGATGGATGGGCACGGCCTTGCTGAATCACCTTCTGGACTCTCCTTGGTGAAGTTCCCTTTCTGGTAGTGAGAAGGCCATTGATGGAGCTCCTTTAGGCTGTCCCATATGCAAAAGTTGATAATTGACTATAAAAAGGCAGCCGGGCTTCAGTCTGGGAAGAAGGTGTAGGCTCCAAGGGTTGATTGATTATTATTACTCATTGATTAGTTGAGGGCCTCTGAAGAGCTTTCCTTAATGCTCTCTATGTTAAGGGAAATGAGTCTGAACCCATGACTGAGCAGCAGCCTGGCCATGTTGGGGATGATAGCCTCCTGGGGTGGGGAGCAACAGTGCGGGTGGCAAGAAGTCAGAGTCTCCCTTCTCCATTCCTCAGTTGGTGCTTTATTTAGGAATATCTAGTGCCTGGTCTCTCAAGTGGGTAGAAGGATCACCCTTAATAAGTAATCCCCATTTATTAAGACTTTGCCACTATCTGCCCTGGCTGGTGCAGCTCGTGATGCTTTGGTTTACAGGCTGGATTGAGTGCCAGTCTGCAAACCAAAGGGTTGCTGGTTCAATTCCCAGCCAGGGCACATTCCTGGGTTGTGGGCCAGGTCCCCATTTAGGGGTGTACGAGAGGCATCCACACATTAATGTTTCTCTCCCTCTCTTTCTCCCTCCTTTCCCCTCTCTCTACAAATAAATAAATAAAATCTTTAAAAAAAAAAGAGAAGACTGCTATTATCTCATTGCCTGGAAATTTTAGCAAGGATAGCTCATTTAATCCTAACAGTCAAGCCACAAGGTAAATATTACTGTTCCCAATTGACAGATAGAAAACTGAGGCGCAGTAATTTTGGACAACTCCTCCAAAGTTACGTGGCTGGTAACCTCTGATAGAAAGAGGGAGAGCTTGGTCTTATGGCATGTCACACAGGGAGTGCTAAGCAAATGAATGAGTGAGATTAACTGGGCTCAGTCTTCAAGGCCCATGAGGGCAATGGAAGCATAACGAAGACCACTTATCCCTGTGGGCTCTGTCCTGGGTGGGTCTGTGGGAGTGGAGGACATGCTACCCCAGTGTCTTCCTCTCCTGGGTCTGGGCTGGCAGAGGCAGAGGTCAGTCTGACCCCATTTAATCTGCCCCTAGGCCAGCACACCTGGGCCTTTATATTCATATCAGCCTGTCTACGAGCAGGCCCAACAGGGATTCCCAAGGTTGACAGTACCCAGATCCCCCAAGCCCTTCAAATGGCTTTTCCAGCAAGAGGGGCTCCAAGAAGGAGCCAACCACAAAAACTCTCTTCTCAATTTTACGGCTTCACCAAGAGAAGTGAAACTTTTATGAATTCAGAAGTGGCTAAGAGCATGTTCTACCTGTTCAAAATCTCAGCTTTTATTGGCTGTGTGACTCTGGGTGAGTCATTTAACCTCTCTGTGCTTTGGGTTTCCCTTATAAAATGGGAACAATAATGGTACCAGCCTCATAGATATCTTCTGGATAATGTGAATCAATTGCTAACTGGTACCTGGCACAGAGGAAGCGTGGTAGAAACCCTAGCTCTTATTCCACCTAGCCTCACACATATCAAGAACTTGAAGACCTTTTTCAGGTGAAAAATTAGCATCTTCTCAAGAAGGAAAGAGGGTGGGTTGGTCTTCACAGCCTGAGGACACACCAAGCTCTCCTGAAAACTTATGCTCTCCCATAGCCCACATAATTTGCTCAGGGCGTGGGTGTGGCCGTCACCAATCCCTCTGCAGTCTGGTTCATGGCTAAGAGCCTGGCATTTCTCTAGGTGGGTCTTGGAACCTGAAAGCTTGGATGGAAGTCTGTGCTGTCAGAAGGCAGGGGTAGGGGGTGGGGCTGGGGGGAGAGGAACACAATGTCTTAGTAAAGGCTCTTTTAGTTGCAAGTAATGGGAACCACTAAGCCAGTTTCAGTCAAAAAATGACTTGGTGAGAAAGGTACAAGACTTTTACATAGAGCTCAGGATGTCTAGAACTCTAGTCCTGGGACTTCAGTGGGATAGGCACCAAGGGCCAGTGGCTCTTGGGCCCCTCCCTTCTTTCACTTCTCTCTGGTTATCTAGTATGTTTTGCCCTCTGCTGCTTTGCTCCTCTGCTCTATCACTCATAGAGTGCCTCACTCAGGTTCCCCCTGGTAGAGGTTTACTGGTTTCGGAGCCCCTGCCAGACCTCTGGGAGGAGATATCTGCTTGGTCCTGCATAGGCTGGATGTCCACCGCTGGTCCTATCAGGTGTGACCAATTGTGCCTGCCATGGCCCTGCCTGGGGAAGGAACAATGTTCTTAGACACAGAACATGTGATTTGGGCAGACACTTGAAGTATGTCTACCCCTGTGAGGCTACACTAGAAGCGGAGAAGGGCACAGATGTGGACAATTGCTGAAGCAATTAAATCCAAGGATGATATTTATGTTCCTTAGAGACAGAGGCTGTAAGGGACTTAAAATATTTATTTAAAAAAAATTTAATACAGCTCCATTTCTGGGCTCTACTGGACACAGTTAGCCAGGCCTCAGAGAATCCAACATTTGGTGGTTTTCTCTCCAGTACTTGGTCAAGCACCTTGGCTGTGTACAAACACATGGGGATGTTCTCTGACCCCACACCCATAGATCCTGGGGCTGTAGAATTCCCCAGGTAGCCCCTTGAACTGTCCTCAGTTGCCTGTCC